TTTAAGAAAGTTGCGAATGAAAGTAGAGCAGGACTAATTAATGAAAGAAAAAGAGGGGACTGAGCTGTCTCCATAGCAGAACAAGAGGGCTGCAAAATTAAATGCCTTTTCAGCACTTTCTTTGTTTATAGGTGGGAGGGAGAGAGCTGATCATTTCCCTTCTTATCTTATTGGATAAGGATGAGTATATAAATCAAAATAATCCTTCAAAATTGATTGACTTCTCTTAATCTCGATAGATGTTTTCAGTTTTGACCTTAATCCATCAAAAAGGATCATCTATTTAACTATTTCCATCCATTTTCAGTATTCAAAATTTAAAATGGAAAAATTAGAAAAAAAATAATACATTTTTTAAGATAAATTATATATTATCAATATTTTTAAAATATACTTTATTCAAATCAAAATAATCGATCGAATTGATTAAAATAAGTTAGTATAGGCTATTTTCAAGTTTTTATTATAATTTGATATCGTTCAAGAGAAGTTGGTTACGGTTATTTTCGAGTCTTTATTATAATTCGGCTGATTATTTTTTTATAAGATTTTGATTTTTAAAATTTCAAGTTTATTTATTTAAGAAAAAAAAGAGAAAGATTTGGGTCAAGTCGTTGGGCATCGGGCCTGTTCTTTGATCAGCCACCAAAGTTCACAACGGAACCAAATGCTATTCCTTGATGGGCTTTTTTATTCATGGCTTGATAATAAGAAAGATGGGAAGTTGGTTTCGTTTTGGGACTGAATACGGAATAAAGACTGTCAAGCAAGGGCAGTATTGGAATATTGAGCACCAACTGACTGTTTTTGCCGGCCATAAAACTTGTTGGCATATAAAAAAAATCAAAAGCCCTAGTTCCCCCAAAAACCAAAAGGCGGAAGCAGCTGCTACGGCCTCTCCTCTTTCCTCCTCTGCGTAACGCACCAGGTTCAGATCTCTCTGTCTTTCATTTTTTTAATTAGTTTTGATTTAATTTCTTTTTTTCTTTTCTTTATTGCAACATTTTAAAATTGTTTTTTGGTTGTTCTGTTTGGTGTTGAACTGAAATATGAATAACGTACGAATTGTTTGATAGGTTTTCTTTTGAATCCCAAAAAACTATGTCTCGCGTGTACGTGGGTAACCTTGACCCACGAGTCTCGGAGCGAGATCTTGAAGACGAGTTTCGTTGCTTTGGAGTTATTCGAAGGTAGAATATCGTCGTACTTTACCTTTTTTTTTTTTGTCTTCCTTTGAAGTGGTACATGTTACACTATAATTGTCTGTAATTTGAGCACCTTTAAAGTTTTGATTTTGTTGTCTTAATTCCTTCGAATGCTGTGTTTTGATTTGCTAAATGTTTGCCTTTTATCTTTTTTGTAGTGTATGGGTTGCTCGTAGGCCACCGGGTTATGCTTTTATTGACTTTGATGATCACAGAGATGCTGAGGATGCAATCCGTGAAGTAGATGGTATTCAGACCTGATCCTTTTATATCTCATAATGGCACTAGTTGCATCCTTCATGCTCTGTATGGTTAGTTGTGATTCCTTTCTTGTTGGATAGGAGGATGCTAGCCTTTCTTGTTAAAAAAAAAATGGATAGGTTAGGAGCTAACACATAGTTATCAGGCTACTCCTTTCTTTATTAATAAGAAGTATTATGATGGAAGTCATGATTTTGGGATGCCTCTGGTAGTCTCCTACTTCTGCAGAATCAGGTGAGCTCTATGAAGAATCTACTTCTGCAGTTCTACAGTTCCATGTTTATTTGTGGAGGAAGTTTGTGTACATGTTTGATCACAACTGAGCTGCCCTTTGTTGCCTTATTTGCTAATAATACGGGTCATATTACAAGGGACCCTCACTCTTTTTAATTTACTTTATAGGTCGATTTATTATCCATAATCATCTGTTTTTATGTTGTTTTTGACATTTTTCCAGTCTAGTTTTAGATCTTAGCTCCGTAGCATGTAAAACTTGTTGAGGGGTCATAGTCTTTTCCTCTTTTGTTCATCTAACGGCAAGTTTCTGATTTCTTTTTCTTAATGGCATCTTTAATGAGCATGAGCTTATCATTTGAGATTCGCACTATACACCATGCCTTATAAGTCGTGGATTTTGATCAGGCAAGAATGGCTGGAGAGTTGAGCTTTCTCATAATTCTAGAGGCAGAGGTGGACGCACCGGCGGAGGTGGTCGTGGACGCTCTGGTGGTTCTGATTTGAAGTGCTATGAGTGTGGTGAGCCTGGTCATTTTGCTCGAGAATGCCGTATGCGTGGTGGTTCAGGAAGACGTCGCAGTCGCAGCCCTAGATATCGCAGGAGCCCAAGCTATGGACGCAGGTAAGGCCTTCAAAGCAAACATTGTCTTATCTTTGTGGTTGAATGAAGTCTTAATTTGGTTGAATGACACTTACCATTTTGAAGCAGAAGTTACAGTCCTCGTGGACGATCCCCAAGACGTCGTAGTGTCTCTCCTCGTGGGCGTAGCTACAGCAGATCTCCGCCATACCGTGGTCGTGAGGAATTGCCGTATGCTAATGGGTGAAGCTCCTTGAACTCTATACTAGTAGCTGTAAATGCTTTCTTCTTGTAATCTTTTTCTCCAATAAATAAGGAAGTGCGTCAAGCTGACTAGGATTTTGTCACCTGTACTACACATTTTGACCATGCTCAGAGCTATGTTCATCTTAGTTTTTTTTTTTATGTCACATGGTTTTGCGTTATGATATATGAGTGTGAAATATTGTTACTGAATTTGGTGCAGAAATGGTGTAAGGGAACGCCGTCGAAGCAGGAGCTAAGTACCTCAAGGATGTAACTTTTATATGAGGAGACTGGGATTAAGTGTGTTTATTGTGTTTGGACTTCAGTGCAACTATTTTTAATTGGCCCTCAGCCTCTTGGATTTGGATAAGTTTCTTTTTGTTTTTCTTTATTCTATGATGGTTTTCTTTGCTTTACTTATGCTAAATAGTCCTTTTTTCTATGTAGGAAAAAAGTTGCTTTAGATGGCCTTTATAAATTTATTGAGAAATCATTCTGGAACTCTGCTAAAAAATTCATGCTTTTCTTTTTGTGTTGAGGTGTCTTCTGGGTCTGCCTCATTGGTTTTTGCTCTTCTACACTCCCCTGGGATTTACTTCTTTGCTGCCCGGCTATGGGATCTTCAATTCTCGATGATTGTGGGTCCCATTTGGCATCATCTCTAGTTGCTACTGTTTGAATGAATCTCTCCAGCTGTGATGCACTACTCTAGTGGCATTTTCTTACTTTATCTTAAAAGGAATGAGGAGGTGCGTCAAATGCTTCTGGCAGGTACTTATATCTGTTCTACAGAAGTTGATGTTTTAGGGTCCTTACATGAGTGGGATTGGTAATTCACAGATATAATTTCTTTGCAAACTTTTGAAAATGACAACAAAAATGATTTAGAAGGATGCAAGGATATTTTACTTACTGTTTTTATAACATGTTTTTGGTCATTCAGCTGACAAGCAAGAATAAATTTGGAGTCTTCTACTTCTATTGGGTTGGAAAGTTGGGATGCCGAACTTGCTTTTCTTCCTAGTGTCTTCATCTAGATCCAGATGATAATACATGATAAAAAAGGGGTGTTTGCTTTTTTTTATTTATTATTATTTACCATTTGAAGTGAGTCTTCTGTCAACATTTTTTGGGGGCTACATGAAATGGGGGTTTTCTGGGATGGTTGGCTTTTAGCTGCAGAACTTGATGATCTCTGAGCATGTTCTCGCAAGTTAATTATGATTCGACCACCCAGCTATATATTGGGGTCTCTTCATAGGCTGCAAAACAAGTGTAGGTGAAGTGACATTGCCAGTTCTCTTTGGTCTCTACTGGAGGATGGTAAACCTATCAAAATTTGGTGGTTGTGTTTGCGTTTTAACAGCACGGAGCTTTTCTCTCTCTTCCTGTTTATGGTCATTGCTTAGGAATGTTAATCTTCATTGCGCGCCTTTGAATCTCTTTGCTACAAGTGAGATGGTTATGCAGCTGGACCTCATCATGTTTTTGGCCCTGTGGAATATTAGACTGAAACAAGAGCAGGGATAAAGTTTTCATATTAGGTTTCATAGGGTTCAATCATTTTAGATTGGGAATTCTTCTACTTTGAAAAATGTCTTGATGAATTCATTATATTTTTCTGAAACTATTTTTTTTTATATGAATATGGTCAAAAGAGGGTCACACTTTTGTTTGTTTTCATTGAATCATTTTTTACCAAGTTTTCCATACATGAGTGGAAAGATGATTGCAATATGCCCTTATTCAACTAAGGGTCACCTTCAAATTTACTCTCCTGTTGAATTCTTCTCCCAAGGTTTCCATCATGTTGCTGGTGGCTTTGTCAGCCTCCACTTTGTTATTGATATTGAAACGTTTTTGAAGTCCGCCAAAGACTTTTTCTCCCATTTTAAAGGAGGGTGGGCCGGCCTATGAGCATGATTTGTCATTAAAGGAGAGTGGAAGTTGTAGCCAAACAAAAGCACATTCCATTCCAAGTTGGCATTTTTCCAGACTTACCCCACAAAAGGGCATGCAAAATATCTTCCTTTTCAACTTCAATCCAATTGCATGTGACTGTACTTGTATGTTAAAGCAAGACAAGTTACAGAGATTGTCATTCGATCTACATATGTTTATGTTTCATGGGTTTTTCGGACCAAAAGTAATAGTGCAATACCAAGTAGTCGAATCTAGTTTTTCACCAATTCATGTTACCAAAACGAAAATAAGAGAAAAAAAAAAAGGCGAGTTGTAGTAGTCTATTCTAAAAAAATGAATCTGAACGGAATACTCTGAGATGGAGTTAATTAATTATAATTATATTACTTAGTATCTATCAAAATATTATATTTAGTTTTTTACTGTAGTATGATATTATTATAATATAAAGAATTATACAAGTTAAACGAGTTTTAATGGAACACTATGAGATGGAGTTAATTAATTTCAATCTTAAATTAGGTTAAATCAGTGAAAATGTTATATGAAGCCTTGAATCGCACGCAACTTTGATTCCGCTGGATAATTGTGAGATTTTAATGAAAAGAATTGAAAGTGATATGATTTCTTATAGAACCCTGTGGAAACCGACGTGGCAAGGACTGGTTGGGTCTTGTGACCCAAAAAATAACTGTTCCAAACTGCCAATAACGAATCGTGCCTGCCTGCGTCCGAAGGCCAAAATCAGAGAATCAGGGGCAGGGCAGCATGTCTAACTGTCTGACTCGGGACCATGACTCACCATCTCATACGACACAAGCTGACAAGAGCAACTAACCTTCGCTTAACGGCAAAGTGTTTTTTGTTTTAATTGGCCTTAGGAAAAAGGAAATAAAAAGGGCGAACTCCGCCAAATCTGCTAAAAGTATCCTCGTTTCTTGGTTGCCGCCTCCAAAGTCATGGCTCTCACGTCCTTTCATACTGACCCCTTTCTTCCCAAAGTTCATAATTTGTTAAAAAAACAGTAAACTCACTGCCGTGTGAGCTGTTTTTTCGTTTATTTTATGGATATGTATTATTTCTTTCGTTGCCTATTAGAGGGAGTCAAAGCACATAAAGCCAACAAATAGTGCGGAATTCGTCCCTTCCCCCCACGCCAGTTTGATCCTGCATCCTTCTTTCTGATCTCTTCTCCTTCTGCCCCCAACATCTTCCAATTAAGTCAAGATTCCTTCTCTTTTTGCAGTGAAAAAGATCTTTTTTGTTGGTCTTTTACTATGTTGGTGGATATGACAAAAAGTAAGAAAGGATTTCTTAAAGATGGGATTTTCAGATAACTTCTGTTGCAGTGGAGCTGCAGCCATTTCTCTGCCAATGGTTGTTTTTACTTTACGTATGTGAGTAAGAATTACAAGGATGGAGTCCGGACAAGGGAAACTAGTGAGGTAATCTCTGCAACATCCTCTGTTTTTCATTTCCCAATTTCTTTCTTCTTGAAATTTCATTGATGGGGCCTTTCTTGAATTCTCAGGTTCAACAACAATGGCAGTACACATCTAGAGAAGCCACTGCCAGTGTTCAAAGCAACAGCCCCTTTGTTGAAAACTGAAGGAGGTCTTAGTGATAGAGATAGTGGTAGCAGAATTCCCAAATTTGGAAAGTTTAAGGTTTTTCCAGAGGATCATGAGCCATGGGGGGAGAGAATTCTAGATCCTGGTAGCGAAATTTTTTTGCAATGGAACAGGATTTTCCTCTTCTGGTGCTTAGTAGCTCTATTCGTTGATCCTTTGTTTTTCTACCTGCCTTCAGTAATGAACAAAGACACGTCATCTTGTATGGATACTGATTTAAATTTAGGAATTATTGTGACATGTTTTCGGACACTTGCTGATGCATTTTACGTGTTGCATATAATCATCAAGTTCCGGACAGCTTATGTGTCGCCTATCTCCAGAGTATTTGGGAGGGGTGAACTTGTCGCCGACCCAGATATGATTGCCAGGCGGTATTTGAGATCAGATTTCTTCATAGATCTAGTGGCTGCTCTCCCTCTTCCTCAGGTACTTCTTCAGTATTCTTCTCCATTAATGCTTTATAACGTTGTATTTATGTTCAATTAAACCAAATGGTTTAAATTGGGGGCCTTTGATGTCAGAATGGTCTGTTTTTTCTGTGACACTGTCATAAATAGAAATCAAAGATTAAAGTACAGTTTGAAATCATGGAAAGTAGCTGAAATTGATGTAAATGTTGCAAGAAAAACAGCTGAAATTTGATAAGCTTATATGTTTCTTTCACAAAGTTCTATGTTTAGTCTTGAAGTTTGATAAGATTAACATCAGTTTATTCCTTTTTCTTTTTTGGCAGATTGTGATATGGTTCATTATACCAGCAATCAGAAGCACCAATGCTGATTATACTAATAATGCACTTGTGCTGATTGTTCTGCTCCAGTATGTTCCTCGATTGTATCTGATCTTCCCTTTAAGCTCTCAGATTATCAAAGCCACAGGAGTTGTCACAAAGACTGCCTGGGCGGGGGCTGCCTATAATCTCTTACTTTACATGTTAGCTAGCCATGTATGTATTCGTTTCTTACTCGAATTTCATCTCTTATCAGTCAATTGTCTATCATTGTTCCCATTTTTTTATTGTATCCTTCCAACTTTATGGAGTATGCATACAATGATATGGCTTCACTTCTTGTAGGTATTAGGGGCATCCTGGTATCTATTGTCAATTGAACGACATGCAACATGTTGGAAATCTGAATGCAGAACTGAGACTAGCCCTCTGCGATGCAATCCTCATTACCTTGATTGTGCCACATTGAATGATGGCCGTCGCCAGATATGGGAAAACAGTACCCTTGTGTTTAGTAATTGTGATCCTAGTAATAATATCAGTTTCGACTATGGGATTTTCCAAAATGCTTTGACAAAGAAAGTATTCTCCTCAGGCTTCCTTCAGAAGTATTTCTATTGTCTGTGGTGGGGTTTGCAGAATTTAAGGTATGCCTCACAAACATGATGTACAACAGACTACCTTTATTTCTGTTCTAAAGGTTTGTATAATAGCTAGTTGGATTTATCCCTGATAATTATAGGTTCCATTTTTCTCCATGAAACAGTTATATTTCCTGCTTTACTTGGATGACAAATAAAAACAATTACGCTGTACACTTCCTTTATTTTATGGAAAATTTTGATGTATAACTCTATTTTCTGAATTTTCAGCTCTTATGGACAGTCATTGAATACAAGCACATTTATATGGGAAACCTTGTTTGCCATACTGATTGCCATCTTGGGTCTGGTTCTGTTTGCCCATTTAATTGGAAATATGCAGGTATTGTGGAACCCCTGCATACAATTGTTACGGCTTTTGACATTGGATCAATATATTCAATGTCAGGATTCAATTATCACACATATTCTTCTATTGATGTCTGTTTTCTTAGTGGATTGAACCTAGGGTTTTCCCTCCCTTTAGACCTATGAATCTGTGTTTAAAAGTTGTTTTTCATAGGATTAATATGAGTTCCCTCTGGCTTATTTTCATGTTTCATGATGTTCTTACCTGTTTTAAACTTTGGCAGAAACAGTGTGCACTCAATGGCAATAAGGATAGTCAACTTCCTATAACTGGCTTCTTTTTTCTTTTTTTTTTGCTCAGCCAATAAGTAGAGTTGTTTACATATAAATCACTGAAAAATACAGTGTTGAGGTAGCATTGAAGCTATCCTGAAAAGTATAACACCTGGATGCACCTTGTGACATTGTTGTAACACGTTCATTACATCTTATAGCTTGTGTAGGTGCTGATCATACATTCATTACATCTTTGTAACACAGCTCTGTTCACGCTTTCGAATTTTTGATCTGAAATCTATCTGATGTAACAAATGGCATCAGATAAGGAATAGCAACAAGGATTTACAACTTTTTGTAACTTGCTTAGGCCTTGATTATATACTCATTTTACATCTGTATGACACAGCTATCATGCTTTCAAATTTCTAACCTGAAATCTATCTTATGTGATGAATAGTATCAGAAAACGAATAGCAATATGGATATTCCAACTTCTTACAAGGCCTTGATCATATAATCAATAACTATGTTGATATGGCGTGCAGACCTACCTACAATCCATCACTGTGAGACTGGAGGAGTGGAGGCTCAAGCGACGAGACACTGAGGAGTGGATGAGACATCGCCAACTCCCTCAAGATCTGCGAGAACGTGTTCAGCGTTTTGTTCAGTACAAGTGGCTTGCAACTCGAGGTGTGGATGAAGAATCAATCTTACGTGCCTTACCTCCAGATCTTCGTCGAGATATCCAACGCCATCTATGCTTGGACCTTGTCCGGCGTGTAAGTTCTTTGTGCTAAATTCATTTAGATTTAGTCCTAAACATCTGACTGTTTCCAATGAAAATTCTTTACCATTGACTTTATTACAATTTCAGGTACCCTTTTTCTCACAAATGGATGATCAGCTACTGGATGCCATATGCGAGCGCGTAGTATCCTCCTTAAGTACCCAAGGAACCTACATCGTTAGGGAAGGTGACCCTGTCACTGAGATGCTTTTTATTATCAGAGGGAGGCTAGAGAGTTCAACTACAAATGGAGGCCGGACAGGTTTCTTCAATTCAATCAATCTGAGACCAGGTGACTTTTGCGGTGAGGAGCTACTTTCATGGGCACTGCTTCCAAATTCTTCTCTGAACTTGCCATCCTCCACAAGGACGGTCAGAGCCCTGGTTGAAGTGGAGGCCTTTGCATTAAGAGCAGAAGATCTCAAATTTGTGGCCAATCAGTTTCGACGTCTTCACAGCAAGAAGCTACAACACACCTTTCGTTATCATTCTTACCATTGGAGGACATGGGGTGCCTGCTTCATTCAAGCGGGTTGGCGTCGACACAAGAAGAGAATGATGGCCAGGAACCTCAGCACGATGGAGTCCTCATATCCTCCCGACGAGCAAGCTGCCGATGAAACACAACAAGAGGAAGAACACACTCTTGCACCTTTGAATTCTTCCCAAGTAATGCAGAATTTAGGTGTCACGATTCTAGCTTCAAGGTTTGCAGCAAACACACGGCGAGGAGCTCAGAAGATGAAGGATGTTGAAATGCCCAAGTTGCAAAAGCCCGAAGAGCCAGACTTCTCAGAAGACCCAGATGATGACTAGTTTCCAATTCTTATCTGCAATGGTAGCTGAAAAGAAAATCCCCATTGGTCCGTTGGAGGAAGAAACTGGTTGCTGTGGAGGACGATGGTTGCTATAGTCACAGTAACACTTTTTCTAGCCTACACTCTTTAATTTTATGTAGCACGACTGTTCTAACTTGTAAAGTAGTATTCAAAGTTACGCATAGTTAATTCAATTGCCATATTGCTACACTACCATCAGAAGTTGCAAACAGGAAAAGTTAATCTGACAAAATTTATAAATTAAAAAGAATATTTTTATCTCGACTTTTCTGTATCATATCAAACGTTTTACAAAAGAAATAAGATAATAAGTAAAAAGGTATTAAAAAACTTATAAGCTTGACTTTATGTATCTTTTTAAATTAATCTTTTTTTAGTAATTTCGTGACATTTACATTCCTTTTTTACTGATGCTTTTCTTTTTAACTGGAGGCCAGTGCTGAAAACATTGATATGACATTATTAGGCTCAAATTCTTAGTTGTAAAATGATCCCCAAGCAGAGACGGTAGAATGCCAACTAATTAACTACTCATATTTTCCTCTGCTAAAAAAAAAATAAATGTTGCAAATATTGTTTTTGAGAGAAACAAAACCAAAAGGTTAAGGGGACAAGAGGGAAGCAGAAGATCTTTATCAGAATGATTTCAGGCCCTACCAAAATACTACCCAACTTCTCCTGCAACCCGAAACCCTTGGCCTGCCTGCCCTTCCTCCGTCTCTCGATGGGGCTTTTCTATATCAGAAATTCTTAGTCGAGTGGACCATAAAAGAAAAGTCAAGGAAAGGATCAAGTTTGTCTTGAGCTCCTGGGAAACACAACTCATTACCAGAGCATTTGCAAAGCAACAGAATCAGCATATGCCCACCAAAGATCTTTTGGCCCCAGCCATGTCAACCTTTTTAATGGGAATGTGATGCACACATGAACTAAAACCTTCAGCCACCCCCACCACCACGTTTTGGTTCATCCCCTTTTGCCTGCCGACACTTGACATTATTGAATCACACATGTGCACATGCCAAATACGAACAAATTGCAAACCGAAGGCAACAAAGATCAGAAGAAGATGGAAATTATTTGTTACATTAGATAGAACACAATGTACAAGAATGATGTTTTACATATCTCAGCGTGAACATGGAATCTGAGAACCAGAAAGGCATGAAGCAAGCTCATTCTTATGCCTTACTCAAGCTTTTCAAACTTTACAAATACAAACATGGTTTGAATCTTTAGTGCCAAAACCACACTCCAGCAAGAATCAAGAATGATGTATGAAATGGGAAATACAAATCCTACCTATAGCAACAACAATGGTTCAACGGCCCAAGGAAGAATACGATGACCACTACCCAATGTGAAAAAAAATCAAGATATAAAATGTAAATAAAAACTGCGACTACAGAGAATAGAGTTATTGACAAATAAAAAACTTCTATTGGGGCATATCAAAGCTGATATAGAAAATAAAACTTTGGTTATTGAACTGGATGGTACCCTTAACCATTTGCCTGAAGGAAAAGAAGAGTTCAACTGCACAGCCAAAAACCAGCTTTTGTCTGTGGATAGGAAGAATTTTGGCTGAGTTTTAGCACCTTAAGCTTTCTCTCTAGCTTCCATGCAGCGTTAGCTCATCTGCTCTCCTATTAAATCCAGACCCACTAGAAGAAAGGTCACCCCTTGGAAGAGAAGGAAGTAGAAATGTACTCCTTGAGAAGCTAACAGACTTCTAATGGACGCTGTGAGTAGCAGGAATGCCAGAGTGAGCTCTTTCCTGTATATCTTATTGACCCTCTTAACAGGTATAGGAGCCACTTCTTTCTGTTCCTTTAATCGGTTTAATTCAGTGAGCTCACTTTCTGAAGCTCCTCGCTGGATTTGCAGCTGGTTCGTTGTCTTTGATTCCCTCTCAACAGCAGCCAGTAAGTCAGATTCTGATGACCTGCCAGCCTTCTTGGTGACAACCCACTCATAGGAGCTACCCAACTGGAATAATCCAGATACCATTGCGTTGAATTTGGTCACAGACATGGTGTTTTCAAATAGAAGGTAAGGGACAATGAAAGGGAATGATTTTGGGGCTGGAAGGATGTTGAGGAACGACATAAACACAGGTACATAACAAATGACCCAAACAGGAAGCTCGGCCTCTGGTACAAACATGGTTAGCGGAAGAATTATGCAAAACAATGTGAAGGAGTAGAACGGAAGGATAAGTTTCCTCAATAAAAAGAATAGCAGTATTAAGTTTGCTTTCTTCCATATTGGTATCTGCAGAATTACAGCATTAAGGGTAATTAGTATATTATAATTAAACCATAACTGCCAAAGATTGGAAGTTGTGTAATAATTTACCTTGGAAGTTATGATTGCTGGAAGGCATAAGCGGAAAAGGTGCATAGGTCCTGAATGCCAGCGATGTTGCTGCTTCCTGTATGCTTCATAAGACTCTGGGACTTCACAAAGGACCTAAAAGTTTACACGGTAACTGGCTGTTGTCAGGACATTCCCCAAATCTTCCATAAAAAAAATCCTTAACCATTAACTTCTTTTCCATTTCATTTTTCAGCAAGGAGTTATGCACTTAAATTTGATCGTTTGCAGCTATGATTCTTAAACTGAAAAAATTTATTGATAAACAAGACTGAACCAGATCAACTATTGCAACACAGTTTAAATGATGCATGTATCTTACTCTTGATCTATATTAAATCAGTAATCAGTTTTGCCAAATTGGTGAAAGTACACCATGCAACGGTAAAAATCAGAAAAGAGAAAATTAAATGGAAGTCAATTTGAGCAAAAAGGGATTAAAATAGCATAACATGAGGGTACCTTTACATCGTTAAGGAAGATGAATTTCCAACCATTGAGATGAGCACGAACAGCTATGTCCATATCCTCTACAGTTGTCCTTTCAAGCCAGCCTCCAGATTCCTCAAGAGCTTTAATTCTCCATACACCAGCAGTTCCATTAAAACCAAAGAAATTTAAAAATACACCATTAACTTGCTGTTCAACTTCAAAGTGGAAACATAAATTAATGTTCTGGAGACGAGTCAACAAATTCTCATCCTTGTTCACAAAAGCCCATCTAGCTTGCACTAAACCTAACTCAGGATTGTCCTGCAAGATAAGGGAGACATACATAGTAAAAAGCCTGATAAGCTGATTGGAGGCAAGAAACTAAACCAAAATGATTCTGGCTTGTTTAGCTTCACCTTGAAATGTGGCACTGTTTGCTTTAGAAAATCTGGGTTAGGTTGGAAATCAGCATCAAATATTGCTACAAACTCATAGGCCTGTACGTACTCGCAGCTCATTGCAGACTTAAGATTCCCAGCCTTGTAACCAGTTCTTACCAAGCGATGTCGATAAATTATGTTGGCGCCCCTTTGGTTCCATGTCGCAACCTCTGCTTTAATTAAACACTGGATGCTTTCGTCATCAGAATCATCAAGAACTTGAATCAATAATCGATCCTTTGGCCAATCAAGTTGGCATACAGCAGAGATAGACTGCTCATAAACCTGTATTCACAATTCCATTAGAAAGCTAGTCTAAAGTAATAGTCACGAGAATAGCAACATAATTTGTCAAAATTCTTTTAATAACAGCTGTTCAATTATTCTCATGCCAAGAACAAAAAGTGTTTGCCTTGCGCACAATGAAATCATGTCCAATATTCTTAAACATCTAGCAAATTCATAATTATTTGTTGAGATCCAATTTATTAAATGCATTCTTTTACTTTCACTACAACTCTATGAATCTGTTAGATCATTCAGTAGAAAAAGAAACTGCCAGGCATAGTTCAGTTTATTACCTCCCTCTCGTTACACATTGGGATTTGAACAAGAACCATGGGGTACTCATAGCCTGATCCCTCGACATCATCTGACTTAAACGGATCTCCCACAATTCTCGGCTTAATCTTCTTGTATTTAATCCAAAAGCAGCCTAAGCAAAGTATCATACGATCTGCAGATTGGATAAGGAACAGGGCTACACAAAATTTAGACAAAGCTTGAATTAGTGGTGCAATGTAATCGGCCCGGAACGACAACCAAGTAACATAAACCAAGTGGAGCAAGCCCTGGATATCACTAGTCCTCGGAATGTGCAAACCGGGACCCTGAAAATAGTGCCAACCCTTGAAATAAGCAGCAACCTCAAAAGCGAGAATTGTCAAGGAAGTCGCCAGGAAGACTTTAATGACTGTGAAGAGCAGTTTTCCTTTCCCCAACTTTTCACTAGCCAGAGCAACATCTTGCCTGAAGATCAACCTCCTCTTTATGGTACCAAGCAATGCCCAGAAGAGTGTAGCAATCCAAGCAACACAACCGACAGCACGATGAGCCTTGAGAAGTAAAACCCAAGTCACTTGCTTGGCATTCTTCCCTCTGCTCTTTTCCACAGGCCTGAATGCAGCATCTGGGCCGTCGATTTCTACAACAGAGTAGTTCGGGTTCTCCATCTTTACTACCACCGGTGTTCCTTTCCTGGTATCCTTTGCCCACCAATTCGAGAAATCTAATCTTGGAGCCATTTCCTGTACGGTGGGTCTTATTCTTTACTTCAACAGACAACAAGTAGCCAAAATGAACAACCGTGCACTACCCAGGAACAAAAACAAAAAACAAATACAAAAAAACAAAATCCCGACAATTGTTCAACACTCAGATCTCACAAAAAAAATCAAGTAATGAACAAGAGCAATTGCAGAACCAATTACCAAGAACCAGGATCCCCAAATTAAAAAGTGAAAGGAGTCAGCTTGAGGCTCTCCATTGTAGAGAAAAATGTAGCAAGGGAGAAGCGAAGAAAAAGGAGTGTCGGAGGCTGTTTGTAGTTTGTAGTAGCTATGTGCAGTCTAGAATACAAACCCAACATGGGAAAACAACATTAAGAGGAAAGGTATCTGCAGCTGCAAGACTTATTTATGGTCTAATAATCCAAACAAGCACACCCCTCCGTATTTAACTTCCCACCCAGAATTTACTCTTTTCTTCGGTGCATATATTTTTGGCTTAAGAATGGAATCTGCTAAACCTGTTAAGAAGCATTAACTAAGCAATACTAGAAGACACTCACTAACTTAAATTGGACTCCCGTCACCAACACACACTCCAGTTTGACTAGGAAATAAACAGACACTCCATCATTTAGTTACAAAGTAAAGATCTAGACACAGAAGGATCCGGATGCCGACCAAGTGGCTTTGGTCTTGACCAAAATAAATGATAATAAAAATATTCCTACTAAATAAGTGAGGGAGGGAGAGAACATGGAGAGAGTAAACAGCTAAACATGGTCACCCCTAGCAAATTTCTAACATACCTCACCAACTTAATCTTGTTAGTATTAAAAAATAGTAAAATATCACATTTTGTCGTTCACCCAAAAAAAACATGAATCATATATTCTACCAATATTATTTTGATTAATGCTTTACATAAAAAATTTCATAAAATGAATTACATATCGTAATAAGGCATTAATGATATAGTAAAAAATGCAACCTTTTTTTTTTTTTACATTGTTTTTTTGGGGTAAAGATGATAATGTTTCACGTTTAATGTCGGTTACATGCAGTAAGATAAGAATATTCTTTTGTTCTTTTACGTTGTCTGCTTGTCTTGGCATAATTTAATATTTTGTAAAATGGAAAACCAACAAGTTAAAATAGTAGGAAAAAAAAAAAGAAAAAGACATTGATTTGGGGTCCTTTTTCGAAATGTCATTATTACCCTCCATCGGAGCATCACAAGTTTGGGAATGAAACACCCTACGAAGGGAGTGGGATTGTCTTTTCACCCTGTCAAACAGAATTCTCCTCCGGTCTCACATTGCATACATTTACTTGTAAATTTTAATAATTTCACATTCTTATTTTCATTGAATTAAAATGAAAAAGAATTTAAAGATCCAATCTCTTTTTTATTCAGATTTTTTGTATATAATAAATAAATAAATAAATAAAAAGTCCTAGTTGAATGATGGTATTGCCAAATTAATAAATGATGAGATTTTTTTATTAAAAAAAAATTTCTTTTGAAAGGCTATTAGTATCATCTTTTGCACCTGGGAAAGCAGCATATGATAGTAACAATACTTAATGTCATAAAGTAGCATTGATATTTGATAATTAAAGACAACAAATTTTTTAGAGAATTAAATAAAAAATAAAGAAAGCATTAAAATGTCAGGCATCTGGAAGCTTAATAAACAATAAAATTTTGTAGAGGTGCCATCATTGGGTTCATTATGTTCATTATCTTAATGATGGCTTCACTTGTTGACAAGTAAAACATAATGATAATGAAAGTGCTTAGGTGTAGCAACTTGACAACTTTGTTGTGGCCTAATGTTCTCAATTTTGTTTTATTTAAAAATAAAGAATAAATTCTAAGTACATTTATTTCAAAATTTTTTGCATATTTTTTTAATTAATATCATATAGATAATTTATGTTTTCATAAAAAAAAATTAAATTATTAAATTTTTCTAATAAAATTATTAAATAATTTTAATTTTTTATTAAATAAAATTAACAACATAATCTCTTATACAAACCGAAGTTATTTACGTGATATTAATTAAAAAAATAAACAAATAAAAAACACATGGAAGTGGAGGTAACTCTTTTTCTACTTTCTTTTGGTTTCTCTTTTTGATTTTGGATAACATGGAGAGGTTTCTTTTTAAAGGTAGTGGTTATTATGGTTGAATCATCTCAGCAATTGTATGGAAAAGACGTTTGATTTTGGAGTTTAACGCCCATACAATAGCCCCCTCATCTTTCTCTTTGTTTTCTTTTCTTGCTCCCCACTTGTTCGAGCTCTTTGCACTAATTAGTTTAATTAAGATAGTGTGCCTTGAATTAAGAAAAGTAGTAATTAATTTTTAATTTATTTTTTTCTGATTTCATCTGTGTGTATTTTGACTAATCGAAATTTGTCTTATCTTATGATCAAAATTTTTATATTAATTTCTGTGATTTTTTTTTTGAAAAATACTGCTTAAGAATGTAAATTATCTAAAAAACTTTATGTATGGGGAAAATTGGAACATGGAGAGGTAGGTGTGTATTAGTTGTTTTGTAGGACACCAAATTGCATTCTATGTCTAATTTTGGTCAAATAATTTTCCTCCATGTCCAATGTTGTCTACCACCCCCCTTGCAATTGAATCACCATCAATCATTCACACAACAAGAAAATTAATGCAAAGGGAAAGGAAAGAATTGTGATGTTATCCCATTTTTCTTTTATTTCTATTTATTTAATAATATCATTCTCTCTCTCTCTCTCTCTTTTCTTGCATTGGTCATTGTTTTATTTATTTTAATTTGGGGTGTTTCGCAATTATTTGTAGATCTGTCATCCCTTGCATGTGATACCAGATTGTGCAAACTAACCAAATCCAAGATGATATCCATCTTAAAACTTTGAGCAACTCTGAGCTGGATTCTCTATCTGTTTTTCTATATGATGGTAAGTAGTATTATCCCAAGCCTCATAAATCTGCTGCAATTAATTAAATACTCCTGATTGAAGCATGCGTTGATGGTGCTCAATCCCAGTTTTTTTCAGAGGCAAACAGTCACAATCAATTAAGGAACACAACTAGTAAAAGCAAGAAATATCGAAGACAGCTCATTTTTGTTTTTGTGTTGGTGACAAGAATATGAGATGGAAACATAGAGATGGCTAGGCTTCTTCTCACATATTAGAATATTCAAAAAAGAAAAAAAAACCCTTGAACCGGATGTCGGTCCAGGACTTGAAACATATATAAAGATAAACTCGACTTTCATCGTTTATACCGGTAAATGTCTAAGTATGACGATTTCTTTTCATTGTTGCTATGGAATAAAATCACATCAAGTTATTTGTATAGATATTCCATGGACATGAAACATTTACTAACATTGTATATACAGCAATGCACATAGGAATTTCCAAATGGACAAGACTGCTACATATGCACATGTTTTGTTGTTTTTCCAAGATCTCAAACTCACGGGGAAATAATAGATGGAAGAGAATGAGTTCCCTGCAAATTTTTGGATTCAAGAGGTCAGCAGTGGAAATTGATTTCCAAATGGCATGAAATGATGGGAATTGACTACTTTAATCTCTTCTTTTAACAAACAAAAGAATGGCTGGAATTTCCTTTTCGAGCTCGTCAAGCATTGGATTTGCAAGCAAAGAATGATGCACAAAGAGAGACTTGGAATCAGAAGAAGACAGCCACACGCACGCAATACCCTACCTGCCATCAGAACCCCACTGGCTGCTAGGGATGCCGATGCCTCCCTCCCCTAACACCCCTATTCTTTTGTCGGCGGAAAAACAATAAATAATCAACAACAAAAGCAGCTTCGGTGTAAATTAACTAGGTTGTGGGTGGACCTCTCTCTGTATGACCACAAGTACAAACCTATTTTCCATTTCTGTTCAAGAGATTACCAGATGGTCAGCCCTCTCCTTGAGGTTTCGTCCACCGACATAATCCATAAGAATAAAAATCTGGTTTCTATGTAAAACTTATATATATATTACCACAAAATGTTCTTCTGAGATAGTCAAATGATGGGATTTTTTTAAAGAGTTTTTCTCTTGCTCTACTAATTTTTAAATCTCTCTATAGGAGGCTAACGGTGCTCATTGAGCTTATTTAAGTAGTTTAAGCTAAACATGGAAGGCAAAATGCATCTGATTGGATTAATAATAGTACTAGTAAAGAACCATTTAATATTTATTTCCTTTTTTTTTTGTTTCTTTTGCAATGAGCCCAAAAAGTCAGCCAGGGACAAGCTAAATTGGAACATTGGGTTAGTTTTTTGACATAAGAAACTTGTGATCCATGTTGTACTTTTGTAAGTAAAAGCAGCAGTTAGATCATGGGTGGAAATGACATTAATCCAGATCAGGATAACAAACGCATGTGCAGTTCCAGCAAAATAGGCACTTCCGACGTCTTGGTCAAAAAGAAAAGAAAAGTACTTCCCAACTGTAACAGGAAAAGAATTACTACAATTATTGCGGTTGATACCCTTTTAGATATTTCTTCTGCAAGAGTTAGGTAAGTAAATGAAAACATTATCTATGATGATATGATCCCGAGGCAAACGTGGGGACGGCATACAAGTTGCATCAAGTCACAATAGGAGGCAATGCATGCAATAAATGTATCAATATTATTATAGACAATGTTCCCTTCTATATCCTTTTGTTGCTTTTCTATGCCCCTCCCGAACCTCTCTTACGTGGAAGAGTTGGGTTCTTGAATGCTAACTTAAGACAATTCTCCTACTAAATCATACGCTTAAGGAATGGAAGATTGATAAATAATCAATTCATGATCTATTTGATGAATGACACGATCGGAAACTTGGAAAAGAAACCAGCAGTTAGAAACCTTGTAGGAACCCTCGACGTTGGATTACTTGCGATGAGCCTCCAGATCCAGCATCAGTTTTGGTGGTTTATTCTTCTTTTGATTATATTTGGCATATGAATACCACATACCACCAGCCGTGTTGATAACCAAGCCGGTAACGTTCAAAGCATGTACTTGCACCCCACCGAGTAATACAAAACCAAGCGTCTGAGGGCAAAAGGAAAATTTTAGTCTGTCATGTGGTCTACAATTTTACCTTGTTAAGAAAAGATGCATGTTCCATTCAATTCCAGGAAGACAAGACGAAATGATGGGATTTAAATTTCTTGAACAATAGTTTTGGGAAAAAAACTGATTCAGATATCCACCTTGCATCCCTTTTCCCCCAGCTTAAGCAGCAAAGTTACTTACCGTGGACCCTACGCCTTTGAGTACTCCAACAATGGTTGTAGTTAGAGCAGAGTTAACTATGGTACACAAAAACATGGTGTAGTTAAGAGCAATGCCCATAACCAAAGAAAGAAGCAGGATCACCAAAAAAGAGAAAGAATTGCTCTGCAAACAAAGACAACTGATGTTAGGAATCAAATATATGAACTGCTAAGGACATCCAACAAACAGTACACCAACTCACAAAGGGTTAATTCCCAATTTTGACAATCAAAAATTTCAAATATTTGGGAATCAACTAAGTTCAAGATTTTTATTTCATCTGGTAGTATGATTTGAAAGGAATTTGTTTCGACATCCTATAGAAAAGTGGGCTTAAGCTCTGTAGAACGTAAATAGCTGAAATGGAGATAGGAAGCCAAGGGCAGTCAACTACCCTATGTTAAATGTGCAACCGAAATAGAGGATACAAGGAGCAAAAGATCAAAATTCATAAATAATGCAAATCATTGTGGTAATGGTCCTAATGGAAGTTGAAGTGGTTTTTAAGATGTCTTCCTTTGGGAACACAAACAAACGTAAATGCATGGAATGATATGCCAAGAGATTACTTGTTTAAGCACCAATGCTCTGAAAACTGAGGGTGAATGATGTTTAAGCAATCCAAACCTCATGCTTTTCTTGATAGGTTATGTGCCTTAAGAGTCACTTATCTCACCTACACTGTAGGTATCCAGAAGATCTTGAGGCTAAATGTATTGGAAATTTTGAGTGACTAATAATTCATTCTTTCTCATCCATTTATAAATTCTGGCAAATAAAAGATATAGCGTAGTGCAAAAGATATTTTCACTTAGTCTAGTGCCTTTGGTTCTGGCCTAACCATATGAAAGTGTCACTGCAACATAACAGAATCTCAAATGAATAACGATTTAAAGAAAATGGGTAAAGATCCTGACCTTTGCAAATAATAATGACAAAGAATTTGGAAACTCTCCTGTCGCTATGATGAGAAATAGCAAAAATGGAAGAGAAAGAAAACTGTTATAGAACATTATTTCCACTGAAGAAAGCCCATCCTCTGCACCAGACTTCTCCACCAACACCAGGTACATGGTCTGCGTTTTAGTTTAAACTCCACTATGAGAAAGCAAACTCTATCCAGGGCATAATCGTGAACCTCAACACGCAACGCTAAAGCTGGAACAAGAACATTCATAAGCACATAGAATTTTAAACCCAACCTGGAAAAACACAGAAGTTAGGGCCATGCTGTATCCGAAAAGGTCAAAAGAAAAATCTCCCATTGCAGCTACAATAACTCCTGCAGCAGTCAAAAGTACTGAAAGGGTCACCTGAAAATTGACAATGAAGCAAGTAATAGCTGAGATTCTTCGAAATCAAGTTCAATAAATCCGATATTATAAACTTTATGTTGGGCATAAAAAATACAAGAAAACCCTTCAAAAGTAGCAAATCTCAATTATAAGACCATCTTCCTTTATCAAACAATTCTTCTAGGCTCAAGAAACAAAGTGTAAATGCAGCACTAGCCAAGTTAATCATATTCAGGACTAACAAACCACAAGAAACCAAAGAATCGAAAGTGAAAAAAGGAAATGTCTTTTAACACCTTTAGTTCAGCTCTGTTTTTGTTGAGACAAAGAGGGCAGTTGATACTTTATGATGCATATCATGCGATGCAAACTTTACTGACAATTGAACTGTAAAATAGCGGTAATATTATAAAGCATAAGCAAAGCAAATTATAAATCAAAAGCAATTGACACGAAGTTGTGACATAAACTTCAATTGATCTCCTTAACAGTCCTTTAGAAGACCCAAGCTCCCAGTCAAATGCCAAAATCACATCACCAAGAGATCAAGATTTTTTTTAGGAAAAAAAAAAAGAAGCAAGAAAGGATAAGGAGTAACTAAGGTGAAAACCCATCAATGAAATGACAGCACAAACCTGAGTTGTAGGCTTTCCCTTTCCTGAAAAGAATCCAGCAATGAGCACAGCAAGTGGTGTGAGCCTCTTTATAGCAATATACATAGGAATGTTAACGCCTTTCAAGCTTGCAAGAGCAAATGCCACATTAGCATTGTAAAATAGAGAAACAGGGAGAAGCCTTTTAGCTGTCGTGATATCAATCTCTTTAGCTTTTGTGTAACCCATTTGCCGGCCAAAGTGAATGAGCAAGGCAGTCGCCAATTGCTAAGACAATCAACACAGCAAGTAAGTTCCTTTTCGATAAATTCCGAAATTGAATTGGCCCATCATTTTCTCAAAAAGAAAAAAGGCATACCTGCACAGTGAGAAGGGTCATGGAGTGCGTATACTGCATAAGAATTGCTTTATTGATGAAAACCATGGCCATCGAAGCAATCCCATATGACAAGGCTGCGGACAAACTACATTGCAAATCAAAGCTTCAGCTTTGTGATTTAATAATGCTTATCCATAATTTGCATCTTGTTTATGTTCCCCAAAGTTTTTTTCTTTTTCAGTTGTCTTGAAAAAAAAAGAGAGGAAAAAGTAAGAACAGTGCTTTATGGGCAAAATAAATGGTAACTCTGACATCTAAAATCTTACTGTCGGAACAAGTACAAGGCAAGATTTACCTTAAAAAGGAACTGCTTTCTGCATCGCTGCGAGTGTCCATGACTAAGACCGAAGATCACGTTTGCAAAACCAAAAAGAACTCGACCAGCAGCCAATCCAAATCCAATCACATCGTCTAATTAACAAATTTCCAAATTCCCCAGCTCAAAAATTTTAGTACTACCAAAAAAAAAAAGAGAGGATATTTCTGCAAATCAAAGAACAATAAGAAAAATTGGGTCTTTGGAACAAGCTCAAATCGGGGAAAAGAAAATGGAAACGGGAGTCAACCCATCATCGGAAAACAAATCACCTGACAAAAAAGGACTGAATTACATAGTCACCCAGGGCTGGTCTCTGTCTTCTTCAAAATTTAGAGAAACGTTGGATCTAGTGAAAAGGGGCTTACAAGGGTTGGAGAGGGAGAAGAAGCGCAGTGAGGGAGGAGTGTAGGGATGGCATATCCAATAATAAAGTAACAAATAAAAAAAAATAACAGACAGTTAAGAGAGGGAAAAAAAACAAGGAAAAGGAAGGGAGATTTAGCATAGAAGGAAGTGCAAGTGGCGAGAGAGTGGAAATGGGCTCGGCTGGTAACAAAAGATATCGCCATCAGGATCACCTGGGCTGCTCCCTTGCTGGTTGGCTCCTTTCAAAACACCTATGGAGCTTTGGCTGTTTCGTTGTTGCACCCACCAAAGCCTCCAAGAACCAATAAATTAGTAACGGACCCCGTAAACTTGTAAGCTTCTCCCGTACCACTGATCCACTCTCCCTCTCTCTCTCTGCATGGTGCTGACTAAGTCCTAAGAACAAGCCTTCTTGTTGTTTAAGCCCAACAACAAATAAACCAAACTGATGCTAACATTAATCCTATAAGCACTGTTAGTTCCCTTATTTAATCAAGCTAATCATAGTGTAGCCTTCCTGTTTTAGAATTTTTTTATTTATTTTAATTAAAAAATGAAATAAATAGAGAAATGAATGGTATTACTATATTTTTTTAAAAATTTTAAAAAAATTCAAATTTATTTGTTATGAAAATCATGTACTAATCAATTAATTAAATGTTCAATTGCATGATTATTACATATTAAATAAGTGATAATTCGGTTATTTGAGTCTATCATTTCAAATTAATTATTTTAAGTCTATTTTTAAATTTAGATAATTTGAATTGTTGTTGGAGTCAATTTAAATTTGAATTCGATTAAATTATTTCGATTAAATTAAATTGAAGAGCAAATCAAAGGAATATTTGGAATTCAATCCATTTTAACCATGTTGCTAATTAACCTCTAAACGAGAAAGGGTAAACTATGATGCTCATTAACTATGGTAGGTGCTTAGTTTCCTGAGAATATTTAAGGACTTGGAAAGTAATCAGAAACGCATTAATTTAGACGGGCGATTGGTTCTATCTTCACCTCCAGGCTAGACCCTGCTTGGTTCCATAAACAAAGAAAAGCACAGTAGATTAAACTTCGGAGTCGAGCCGAGAAATGCTGCAATGTCAAATGCAATAGTTACTCCACATATGCCTCTCTGTGCATGTGCTGTGTGCCATCTCTAAGAGCTGCATGCATTCCTTGCAGTCCATTCCTCGTTCATTTTTCATCAAGTACTTAAAGGGTCAGAACTGTGAAAGAGCTGTACTGAGGAGCTGTGGTAGCAGAGCATGGTCCGTCAAGATTAAGGGCCGGAGATTTGAAGATGGCTGGGAAGAGTTTGCTCGAGACCATGATTTGTATGTTGGTGATGTCTTGGTGTTCAGACATGGAGGAAACATGGTGTTTGATGTTATGGTTTTTGACACGAGGAGTGCCTGTCAGAGAGAATGTCCACTGTTTGCTATGAAAGGCAAAGACCAAAAGAATAGTTCAGCAAAAAGATTTGGCAGTAAGCTCTTCCCTTCCATCTGACAGGCTCCTTTTTCCCCCTCCATTTAAAGTTATAATTGCTTAATAACTACTGCGTTTTGATGGTTTAGAACAACTTGAGAAATGTACAAGCGCTTCGTTCAACCATGAACACCCTTATTTTGTGACAACACTGAAGCCTGATCACCTGAAAGGTTCTAAACTGGTTAGTACCTATGTCAAAAAACAATATGCCCAAGATTAAGGTCTTGGGTTTAGGCTTTCAAGTTTCCAAGCCTCACAGTTCTGTTTCATAGCAGAATATTCCAAGAAAATTTGCAAGGTCCAATGGTCTGACTGACAGATTCTGTGAGATGGTTCTTGTCGACCAACAAGGGAGATCGTGGATAGCAAATTTACGGCACAAGAAGTCAGAAGGCCAAGTCTATATTGGGCGCGGTTGGAGAAACTTGTGCATTGCAAATAACCCCAAGGAAGAGGATTCTGTCCTACTTGAGCTCATTGGAAACGGGAAGAAACCTGGTTTATCCCTTTAGCAAAACTTGCTTGATTCATAGTACAAGTCATCGAAACATACATACTAGACACGATTTTCTTGGAATGGGATTTGATTGATCTCAAATGTTACTGATCAGAAAACTAATGTCTTTGAAACTATATGTTTCTTCAGAGGTTGCAAGAGATTCTAGTGCCAAGACAAAGCCAAATCATACCGATTCCAAGGCCGGTAATTTGAGCTGTTTCTGTGAAGGATCGAGCAGGTGCTGACAGTGAATTGCTATGTAGTGAACAACTGAAAGATCTTTTTGTCTAGATTTATAACTATAACTTGGTTTGGTTTTTGAGCAGTGAAACATGGTTTCCGGAGAACATGTACTGGGCAAAAATGTTGTTTCCTGTACCTTGCATTTCATGTGAGTCCCAAAGTGTTCAACTTGAATCTTATATGGAGCCCGTGAAGAGATCTTACAAAACTTATAAGCAGAGAGTGGTAAACAGTCTATCAGGCTTTTTTTTTTGTTGGAAAAAGAAAAGGTATTAAACAGTCTTATCAGATTATTTTTTAAAAAAGAGTATTTGTGCACTTTTAACTTCCAAAATAACAGTTAATGTTAATAAACTGAAAAGAGTCTACGAGTTGGTTGCAAAGTAAATTGACAAAGGTAATGCCAAAGTTGGATACGTCCACTAATAGCTTAAAAGACTAACAAGTAATTCAAGGGCTGAGCTAAAAGTATTAGCAAAGGAATTCCTGCTAATGATTGTGACCATATTCTTCCGTTATGTAATGGTTATGGGCCATCTAAAAATTGGTACAATAGAATCTGAGATTTCTGTAAATAACGAAACCCCAGATAAAGACACCCAACTCATTCTTTTCTTTCGATGATGGGATGATTAAAAAAATTATGAACAAAACAATTAGCGAGAGATTGCAGCCAATTATTGCTAACTGCCATCCGCTATTTCAGCTCTCTTGATCCCATTCCCTCGTTCGTGTTGTAAGGATAATTCACGTTTCAAGCCAGTGGTTCTGGTGGCCGGAGATGTCTCATCTGAAAATGAAAAACTGCTGCTGCTATCCCCTGAGAGTGATGGACTTGGTTCAGAGCTGTCTTCTGGGTCTTCCATTACATAATCAATTGTTACTTGCGAATCTGGCTCACAGCATTTTATTTCTCTTGTAACTGATGAATATTGCTCCACTTCAACCATCTTCGTACTTTCTGGGTGTTCTCTTACAGCTTCAGAACTGGCTGCAACAACCAGATCTTTATCACAGCTAGGAACCTTCTTTGTATCAGAAGATGATGGCTGAGCACTAATGGTGTCCATATTCTCCGGATTTTCTCTCACTGTTGTAGAATCAACCCTATCCATATCTGCACCATTTACTCCACTGGCTTTTGAATCAATCTGGAAAGGTGACTCATTTGAACAGATGGAAACCTCCTTAGAGAGATATGAATTTGACTTAACCACATCACCATCCTTACGTCCAGGAACAGCATCACCAATCATTCCATTAGATGACTCAACTCCATGCCTAGGAATTTCTGAATGCAAACTGCCATTTAGTGACAGGGACGCAGAATGATTACAAGAATTAACAGAATCTTTTCCAGGTACACATTCAATTTGTTCCTTTGGACAATGCTCTAGTTCAGCTTTCATTGGTTTCTGTTCATCCATCCTCTGAGGTCCAGAGGTTCTAAGACATGACAGGCGTGCAGAAATCCTGCACAGAAAGAGTAAAACAGCATCAGTATAAGGTCATGAATATTAAACACTATGTGAAGATAATTACACATACAAGAAAGAAACAGGAATTCTTCTTGAGGAATTGGATTTATTCATATTTTGGCTGGCGCCAAAGCACAGGACAAGAATATTCATATGCATTTCTTACTCAGTCCCATTCATGCGCGTGCACATGGGATTCTTGTTTTGACAAAACCAAAACCTAATCAACTATTTATAAACCAAAAACCATATGTGACCCTCTTTCAGAATAGATTTAACAACATTCCTTTTTCATGCAAAACAACAGGTCAATATTAATAAAGTTTTCAGTCACAGGTACTCGATGACAAAAAGGATCAAACAGAAGTAAAAATTTCATAATAAGTAACAACTGCAACTTTATCTCAACATGTTAATTCACATCTACCCTTCAAGATTTGTAGGGCAGAATCTATATACTTTTTCTGATTAGTTAGTAACAAACTCCTGTAATTGTTTATAATTTGAATGGGCACTCTAGATATCAAAATAGGAGGTTACAAGTCATTTACAAAGTAAACCATGGCTACAAAGTAACCAAAGCTCAAAACAAAGGGAGAGAGAGAACTGGCTTTAAGTGCCAGTTCTTGTTCAGGGGGGAAAAGTGCACCTGCTATATAAAAGCATATATGCTCCCTGAGAAAGTACCTCTTCCGATTCAACCCTCGTAACCTGGAAAATGTTGCAAAACAGGTCAAGAAAAAAACTGTGAATTCAAGTATACTATACATGACATACAAATTCTTTTGTGCAAGCATCTACTTCATCTTCTAAATAAGATTGAATGGGGACGGCACAGAACCTAGGCATAAGAAAACTCCACAGACAGATTCTTTTTATAGGCAGACACTCACATGCAGAGAAGGGAAATGAGTGGTAAATGCATGCATAAGAGAGAGTGAGAGAGAAAGAATACCTTACAATCATCAATTCTATACCAGTTTCCACAGAAATCTTTTGTGTAGCAGATGTAATGACCAAAAAAGGATGCATTCAGCATATCCACATGGACAACAACTGCATAAAGTTTGTACACATTGGAATCATCTCCATCTTCACTCATATAAGGGGTAAGATCTAAGGTCTCAGGAAAGCTAACTCTTTTGTTGAGTTTCCCAAACCGGCCACTCTGCAGAGATTTTCAACAGAAATTACAGATATTATAAAACAAAGCTTCAATATTCACCAGAAAAAGGAAAAGACAAGAAGCATCCACTGCCATGTCAACGAATGCCAACAAATAACACATGCATTGAGCAGTAAAATCCAGTGCTTGCACTCTGTTTTGTACTCCTTTCGAGCAGTTTTTACTGCCTCCCTACGGCCTTGAGCAGTTTTTTAATGAAATCTACTTTATTGGCTGAGCACCAAAAATAATAATAATAATAATAACACGTGCGTTATGGTTTTTGGATGTAAGTAAGACCTGAAATCTTTTCAAGGCAATGGTAAGAACGTTAGGAGCCCATCGTACAGTAAGGCGCTTCCATGCCTTGACATAGTCATTGCAGCTGAAAAGAGGAATAAAACACCACAATTAACCCTATATCCAAGAATGTGATCAACTGAATAGTACACATCAAAGTATAATAACAACTAAATTATATACTTCTCGAGGCCAAGTGGAGCAGCAATCATACCCATCACATTTGTACATATTATCTCCATGAAGCCACTCTTTAACAGTAAACTGATCAAGGCATTCCTCCAACGATGAAGCATCTCCATGAATTTCAACAGTTAAATCCATCATATTTTCATATTGGCTTGAAATCTTATTGCAATTTGTACAAATCACCTAAAAAGTTTTAACAAGATCATAAAGTATTACACATCAGAATACAAACTTAAACATAGGCAAATACCAAGCAAGATGACTTATAAAAAAGATTGAAGGCAAGATCAACTGAAAGTTTTGAAGTTCAACTGCTGAAAACTGCTCACTTAGTTATGGAGCAACATTCTTATTCACTATGAGTTTCTAACTCATATAAGTACTCTATCTTGGGGAACAGCTATATTAAGAAGCAAATTGAAAAACAGAAAATGCTCCAAAACATTGTTAGTGATAGAATCTATAGATACTGTATCTTTAGAAATGGTAAATAACCAAATTTTAATAGCAAAGAAGAAAAGTCAATGGTTCTACACCAATAGGATACATCACCTGCGACTGTAGATGACCACCAAATATATGCTGAATAAGGGTCGTCTCTTGAGAGCTAGGATCAACAGCTTTTTCTCCACCAAATTCATCAAGGCAAACTGATTGCATTGTATCAATAGCAAACCTGCAAAAAAGAAAATGAATAATTACAAATAAATCTACAAGTCCACAATTTCCTCAACTTAATTTCAAGAAGATGTCAAAAGAAGATGCAATTAAATACAAGTGATACTACCTCATGAATTCATGTGCATCCTCCTGTCTTCCATAACCAAGATTACCTCCAATATTAGGCAACCGCGAGAGAATGTTAATTGGTGAAAAAGGATGCAGACTTTGGCTTGATCTTTCAACATGAGTTTGAAATTCGCACATAAAGCACCAATCATTACGTCTGCCTGGAAAATAGAAATGACAACCATAAACATCAGATGTTCAAGAACCTAGAGATGAAATTCTATCAGTTCTAGCTTCTCAATTTACATTCTTTCCGATGGCCTTTTTCCAACAAGTAAGCAACAAGTGGTCGAGTGGATACAAGGCATTGCAGAACCACATTGGCAAAGCAGCTGCAGAAAAAGAACAAACAGAAAAAAATAAAAATAAAACTTAGAAAAAAAGAACATAAACTCATCTTGTCTAATCAGAAGTTCCAAGAAAAAAAAGAGATGAGTATGGTAAACATGAACCTGTTTCCACAATTTAAGAGTCCACATGGAGGGAATCCTGGTTTCTCCCAGTTAAAAAGTTTTACAAATTCATCATATGGAAAAAGAACCTGAAAAAAAAAAGTGGAATATGAGTTTCAAATTTACTTCTTTCCGTTTTGAAAAGGGTCAAAAGATTCACCTCTCTTGGCTTCTTGATAACCGTAAAGGTTCCACTGGCAGGAACCAGAGCAACTCCTAAAAATGGTTTTGTGCTTACAGTCTGTGCTGACTTTACTTTGCACTCTGTCTTATGCCCAGCCTTCCAGTGCACCTGTTGGCAAGCTGAGGAGCTGAAAAAGAGAGCAACTGTAATAAGATTAAACCCTCCAAATGATAGATGTAGTGTAACCAACAGTACGCGAATAAAAGGTTTGTAAATCAACGTGCGCTATCATGTTAAACAGACAACTCTTGTTTTCTTATATTGAACAACGAATGCAAAATTTAAGGTCAAGGAGCCATTGAAACTAAGAGGCACTTTGTTACTCATGCAAATATGACTACAAAAATGACATCTATCTGCATCATTGACTGGTGGAGTGATAAAAATTTTGTCACTGAACTTGCTGGGCATCTAATTTATTGGCATGTTCAGTGTTGAATAAGCTCCCATTCAACCTAAATTGAGCACAACAGTACTTCCATAGAGGAAAAAGATGAAGAAAAGTTACTTATCCAAAAAGAAAGAAAGAAATATGAAGCAAAATTCCTAGAAACCCGTCTAAATTTGATAGCAAATGCAATTCTTTTTAACCTGTAAATCAGAAAATGCTAAATAAATAAAACATGTAACTTAAATAGCTTAGAAAAGAACAAAAATCCCCATCATAAGCAATTAAGCCTCAATGCAATAATGTTACCACTAAACAACAGTCGCAGAAAATTTGAAAAGCAGTCAATCACTAGGACGATTAAACGAGTATTAATAACATTAAAAGGAAAAAACAAACTTTTTCCTTAACTTTTCTATTCCGAAAAGTAAAAGAAACCGCTCCAGCAATCATGGAAAAACAGTCATAACCGCCGCAAAAATCAATGACGGAGGAGGATCACGCAACAAGGGAAATTCTCTTCTTCTTTTTTTTTTAAAAAAAAGAAGCAAAACAAAATAAAAAGAAAAGCTTTTACCAATAACGAACAGATTTGCAACGAGAGCACTTCTTGGAGGCGGGATTAGAGCAAACGGCGCAAGGAGAGAGGTCTGGGTCCATGGGAATTGAACGCATTGTTTGGTCACGATCGAAATTGGCGTCGACTTCGAAGTACTTCGACGCCGTGTTCTTGAGCAAGTGGAGAGCCCCCAATGCGAATATAAAAAGCGTAAATATGAATTGCAGGAACCAATTTAGATCCACCGTTATTCCCCCGACATGCATCTACACGGCCTCCTCGATCCCGATCCTAGGGTTTTTCTTCATCGATTTTTTTCCTCTTCGCCTCCACTCTCCCAACCACACTTTTCCCCCACCCTCACCAAATTTATCTCCCCTTTTTATAAAACTATTAATTACTCTTACTCTCAGACACCCAAGATTCAAAATTAGCCAAGGCTTCACCGTTTCCTACAACTTGTGTAACACGTTAGAAAGGAGGAAGCCAGGTCGCGTGAGAGCTTTCGGTTACGCAGAGGAATTTTTTGATCTCTTACTTCAAAAGAAATAAGGCCTTTTGCCCCTGTTTACTTGTACAGGCAGATGCAGGTTCCAGACGCCTATGAAGGACAGCAAGCACGCCGCTTTCAAGCTCTCGGCCCGCGGGGCAGTTGGGCCCTTCTCTTCTTAAGGCTTAAGCCTTTAAAGCGGTAAAGATACCTTTCTTTACTAGTTTAACTGATACTACTACTATTAGTAAAGACACTCAAAGAATTATTATTGCCAATCACGAGTTTCAAACTAAGCTTCACTCCATCCAACAGCTTTTTTTTTTTTCCAATAATTTGTAAATATACACTCAAAAACTCATGATTTGAGTTATTGTATAGTCGTCAGGATACTTGATAATAAGTACTTAATTAATTATTTTGCGTTATCCGATTTGATTAAGTAAAATGCCTAAGTGGGAAACAAACAGCTGGAACCATGGCTAATACTCCTTGGAAGCCTTGGGCATGCAGTTAGGATTTCAAGGGGCAAAAGATTCTGGATCAGTTTGGTAGGCGGGTCATGCCTCACACCATGCTTACATTAAATTACATTAATTCCATAGGAAGGAAAAACATAAAGGTTTGTAGTCCTAAGTATAAATTAGTCAAAATAAAACATGAATCACTCATTAATTATAGTCTTAATTTAGTTAGTACTTTGGTTGTTGGCAGCAAAGAGTTCCTTCTTCCTATCTAATCATACCATATGAACATTGGGAAAACATTTTCATTACATTAACATATGAAATTGGGCATATGGTTGAAAGGATTTACTCGTCTATTTCCTCATATTGAAATATTCTTGGAATTGAAAAGGGTTAAAGAAAGTGCCTTTCTTGTTAGGATATCACAAGGCATCAATGCACTATCAGTTCAAGAGAAGCCTGCCAACTTTAGGTCCAAGTTGTCCTGTTGAACCAGACCAAGGCTAGCAATTAGCAGTAATTTTAGACCACAACCTGGTTTCATGTATCAGATAATGACATATTGGCCCTGAGCAGAAAACATCTGGGCTCGGTTGTGGAACGATCCTGAAGATGAAAGAGTTTTGGGTCCGATAGCTACAATGATAACACAGATGGAAAATGCTGGAATTTCCCTTCCTGCCTCCACAAACGAAGCTCAAAACATGGTGGGCTTTAGAGAAACGAGGAAAGCCACAACTGTTGGGAAGTGGGGAGGGTTGGAATTCTGCTGCACAAGTTAAATGCATATGCAAGAAAATATTTTCTTATTGGCTTTGTTTAATTACAGTGCGTCTGGCATAGACATTGACCAAAAGTACTCTTTTTGTTTATAATTAGACAGGACAATTTAGATCAGGATCGTGTCAAGTGCTCACATGGCTACCACATGCCCATATAGCAACATCAATATCCATTGGGAAACCAGCTAAATTTTGAACTCAGGCACCTACCTACGTTAGTTTTTTCAGTCTGTTTCTGTCTCAGAGACAATGGAAACTCCGAATATGCACCCAGCAAATGTCTTCCAAGGAGGATCAAACTTTGCAGTTTACAAGATAATGTGATGCAAAGTTACACCAAAAGCACGAAACTTAGAAAGGAAATAATAAAGAAAGCATATTGGCAGCTTAACCTTTATTGTCTAATCATTGTTGGATCTAGCTAACCTATTTGGAAAAATACTAAACTAGATTTGAAGTCGTTAAAGGTAGCTACTTGGGTTTGAAGAAACAGAATAGATTTCTCCCATACTCACATAAACAAGATCTTGCTTCATGCTCAAACTTGCTTAGCGTTAACGAAGTTAACACAATTCCTATTTTATTACACGTGACAAAAATGTATGGATAGACTAAAAAAAGGGTAGAGAGACGCCGACAAAAGATTTTTATTCATTAAAATTATAAACAAATTCAACTTGTTATTTTTCTTCATGTGTTGGACGAAGCTTTGTATTTACTTAAAGCAGCCCACATCACTGCCTTCTAAGCATCCACCCAAGCCACAATTTAGACATAAATTTGGTTTGGAAGCCACATGTGGAAGACACTAACGTTCCGGATGTAATAATTGTGAATGCCCCAAGCCTAATGAATTTGGTTCACGGGAACCTGCTTAATTGCCTTCTCTTTTTGGAAACTAAAGTGTAGTTTTCGTTTTAGAATTGTTTCATGTGAAAAAGGGGAAGGTACCAACTAATGGAAGAAAAAGATGAGAAGAACAGAAAGCCACGATCATTCTATATATGCCACTTTCCATCCTCATTGCTCCATAATTATTTAGTATTAATTACAACTTTTGTTTTCCTTCTTTTTCTTGTATTATGGAGGAAGGACATCCTCTTTTGCATCTATAATTATTCAATAGTGAAACCCAATTCAATAAAAGCACGTGTTTCCTTGAAAGCAAGACAAGCTTTTAGGGCTTCTTTTTTTTCATACGAAGAAAGGGATGATGGTTGAGTAGGCGTACAACGATGTTTGTGCTTGGATCATCAAGCAATCCTTAGTCTTTGTACATGGGAAAAAGGAGAAACTTTACTTTGAAAGATATGAAAATGACATGCATAACTTATTTGTCTCGTCGGAACCAATCATCCAAGCAAAGTTATTAGGAATTTAGGGCCGTAGGGCAAGAAAACCCGGAGTGGTGTTGCCCACTAAAGCCATTTTTGTACACTTACCAAAGCTGATTATAAAGCGCCCATAGCAAAGGATATATATCTCCCTCTCATCAATCATGAATTGACATGAAGACCCGACGTGTCTTTTTTATTTGTTTTTTCTTCACATATTATTAATTATTTATATTTATTAATAGATAGATATTGTTATATATTATAAATCTTATATTATAATAAGAAATAGACTAAGTCACTTAAAAAATATTTTTCGAATTAAAAATACAAACTCTTGATATCATGCGTCTTTATTAATTTTTTTTATAAATTTTATATCTTTTCTTTTAAATTATAAGAAATTGAACATGTATCATTTTAAATATGTATAAAAACAATCACGTATTATGTAAACATCCATTTTAAATAATCAACACGTCTAAATGATTCTAGACTTCTAGTCACACGTTCAGTGATCAATGTTACTACAAAATGTGAAGTGACAAAAGTAAACAAAAATGTAAACAGTTAAGATTTGGAAACAGGATATGAAAAAAGACCTAGAAGATGCGAAGAGTACAGCCATGGGCAACAACGATTTTTGTCTGGGAGTTGTCCGGTGGCGGCAATCTTTGTAAGGCCATATCGTATCAGCATCAGCATGGGGTAACCTCCGGAGTTTGTGGGTTGGGTGTTTTGGTTTCTTCTTTTGCCCGCCCTTTTTAGATTCGTGCTTGTACGGTTTTATAATTACAAGCAGTAGCATTTCCTTTTGTCCTTTGCATAAGGATTTAACATCACCTGCTCCAAGGTTTCAACTGTAGATCCTACCCAACATGGGAAAAGTAGCCTTTTCCTGTGGTCTCAAATTCTAGTTGCTGTTTTGCACCCAAAGCTTTAAGTTGCTTCTTCCTATCGATTTGGGCACGTTGAATACTATAACTGTGATTCAAAAGTCATCTTAGGACAGTATTTGGGGTGACAGTTGGCTTGTTGAGAGCACGAATAATAATTTTATTATAATATATTTTAATTTTACTTCATCGAATTGAATAATATAAAATATTTAATTATCCACTAAAGAATTATCTACCCTTAATTTCATGTAATTTGAGTGGCGAGAAAATAATTTTTATTTTTTAATATATGATTATTATATAATAATTAAATGTAAAGCTCATAACGATTGAATTATATTCTTATTTATAAAAAACATATCACAAAATTCGTAATTTATTTAATTACAAAAAGGGGAAAGAAGTAAACTTTTCATTTTTAATTTTATTTATTTATTTTATGATTTTGGTTAATTATATAAAAAAAATAAAACTAATCAACAGTCAGCAAAAGAGTAGTTTGTAAATGATTGAAGGATAACGGATTAGTTTTAGTTGTCATACAAAAAAAAAATAGCAATAATAATAGATTACTGACTGCCAGGGAAGCATGTGGGCCCCACAGTCCCGGTTGGTCCACCTGCTTCGGGGCCGTCCGGTCCGAGAGTGTGTGACACGTGAGCACAATTCTTAGTCTTGTAACCCAATTAATTAATTAAGGCTCCAATCCCAAGTCCCTTTTCTTTTACTTCTTTGAACTTCCAAATATGAACAGGGTCCAATCAAACACGTCCATCTGTTCCTTTTTTTTCCTTACCACTAGCTAGGAGGCACGTAGCGGAAGAGACATAATCCACGCTGCATGAATTTCGCGTGGCTTTCATCTCATCAACCAATCAAAATCAAGTATATAAAAAAATTTACCCATTTGAATGTTTCCCCAATTTCTCCTTTTGTTTTTTCTTTTCCCCTCGATTTTAGTAATAATGCAAAAAATGTGAATAGGTAATTATTTATATTTTTCTTAATTATTTATTATTAAGATTAATTTTCTCAAAATTGAAGAAAATAATTAATAATCTAGTATTTAGACAAATCATAGATTAGTTTAACGATTTTGCATTTCGTTAAACTTATAAAATTTGAGAATCATATGTTGAAGACGTGTCTAAAAATTAATTATATATTTTTTAATTATTTACAAAGAATTTATCGAGGGTAGAAAGAAGAATTAATCCCGTGAGCTGTGATTCCTTTTACGATGAATAATTTTTTAAGAAAAAACTAAATTACAACACTGTTTTTAAAGCCCTATGGTTAAAGAACACGTGGCAACAAAACTTTTAGCCATAAGCTTAAAAGAGTTCAGAAATAACGACAAAGCTAACCTACCTACAAAGCTAATTGAATATATGTTCTTAGTGCATTTGTTTCTTGAAGTGGAGGAGGGGCACATGATGAGCTCAAGTTCCTGCTCAATGGCCAATAACACAAAATTTAAATTAATTAATTAATTGGGTAATCATCTGCTTTGACCAATAAATCCATGAAAACGATCGATTATAAACATAGTGAAAGGGACTGTATCACGCTAATCAAAATATTT